CCCCCTTTTTTTTTTTTTTTTTTTTTTTTCAATTCTTTTTTTCTTTTTATTCTGAGTGACCAGAAATACTGAGAACTTAAACAATGCATACTTTGGTTTCTTCTAAAAATTATAGCTGCTTAATTCAGCCTGTTGTATAGTTCAAAAATTACTGTGACAAGCGGTAGATATAGACAAGGAGCGCAAAGAAACAAAGAGATTTTGTTGGCTAGAGATTTTGCTGGTGTAGTGATTTACACACCAGCAATCTAACCACTGTCAGTTGGATTTTGTTTGCTTGGGTTGTTTGTTTTTTTTTAAGCCCTTGGTTTCAAAGAGATTTGAACAATATGTCCCTATGAGGAAGATTTTCAGACTGCTTACAGGAAGGTCCTCCTAAGCTTAAGGTGCAGCATGGGAAAAAGCACAGGGTTTTTGAGTTGTTTAAAAAAAAACCCAAAAAAACCGAACATGCAGGTAGAGGAGGCTGGTATCACGGGCTGATCAGCAGGAGGATCTTTTTGATACTGAGAGACAAGGCTGAGGCTGTGAAGTGCCTTGGAAGTAAAGGTAGGTAGCTTGTTTGATGCAAACAAGAACAGGGTGTAGTGGAGCAATGAGAGAGATATCAAAATTAAACACTGGGGTAACTTTGCAGCATTGTTCTGAGGGTGCAGACACAACAATTAAAGTGCTTCAAAATGTCACTGGTTGTGAACTGGTTTACAATCGTGAAGTTCTGTGGTAGTAACATCAGAGGGCTGAAAGGTGAGTATCAGGGGGGATGGGTGAGTTTGGACCCATGCTTTTTGGCTGTGTGGTTAATAGGGAATGAGGATGCAGCTGACTTAGTAAAATAGCTTTAAGTAAAAAGCTTATTGCTTTTCTCTTTTTTGTAAGTTGGGAGTAGAGCTCTGTCTACAGACCAGTGGCAGTTGGGGGTGGGGTGCAGAATGATGCAGTGAGGGATTCCAGGAGGACTGACCAGACCCATGTCACCAAAAGCTTGGTATCCAGTTATAACGGTGAACAGGTTCAAAATAATAATGCTTCTTTGCAGAGATGGCATTCATCAGCAGTTCTGCATAGTTGATCAGAGGAGTGCTGCCCATTGAAATAAGATGCAGCAAGAGCTGGAGCACATCGGTGGTCCCACACGGCTGTTTGCTGTGGCTCTGCCTACCCCTGACTTGTGAATAAAACCTAATCTTTCCAAGGGATAGCCCTGCAAACCAAAGCCCTGGTTTTGCTGTAACCACAGCGTACAGGCAAGCTGATGGTGCTGTCTCCAATGATTTTAAAAAGACAAATGAGGAATTATTCAAGATGTCTGGTTAGTTATGTTGATTCTTGACCTGTGGACTTGGCTTCTCTGAGATATCAGACAGGCAAAAGTTTTCAATTTAGACAGAAGGAGAAAGGTCTGAGGCAGGTAGAGAGGTGTTAGTTGAATTTGTATTTACCTATGAGATTATATAGAATTAAGGGATAGAGGAGACATGACCAAGGCCAAATTGCTGGAGCACCTAATCAGGCAGCTTGGAGGAAGAAGGAATCATTCAAAGGATGCCCTGAAAAAACTGATCAGAAAGATGGCAAGGAGAGAATAAAATTTCAAAGAGTGCTTGACTGCCGAAGGCAAGTAGTCGGTTATCAATCTGCCAGTTCAATTGAGTATTAAAAAGGTATTTTGAATTATAGGCATTATGATATAGAAGGGCAGCTTCTATTTTGTACCAAGTTTTCCTGTGTACCGTTGTCTTCACATGGAAACTTTTTTTTTTTTTTATATCAATTTATGTAGTTCAGTCGTGGCACAAGTGAGTTTGACCAAGTGCATATGCAGGTATATAAGGGACAAGCAAGAGTATCATTCTGGAAGGAAGTGGCTTTTTTGGAAATGACTAAAGATCATAAATATGTTAAGATTTTGTCAAGGTTGCAATAATAAATATTGTGTATTATGTATTTGTACAACTTGTGAATTTATTTTTAGTTCATATTTTATTATATAGTCTTAATATTTCTCATACTGAATTATGCTGTGCATTTTTATTTTCATTATTGCATGAAATATCATTCTGAAAACTTTGGTTTCCAGGATTTGAGGGATGAGAATAATGAATGACTGAAACTACTGCTTGATGTGTGGTTTTTTTGTTGTTTTTTTTGTTGCTTGTTTTTAGGTAACTGGGGGTTCCAGTGGAATTGGAAAATGTGTTGCTATTGAATGCTATAAGCAGGGTGCATTTATAACTCTCATTGCAAGAAATGAGGTATGTTATACAAGTTTACTAAAAAAAATGTGTCATGAAGCCATTAAAGTCCCGTTATGATTTTTTTTTTTTTTTTTTTTTTTAAGACAGTAATTAGTCATATTGTGTTTCTGGTAAACACTCACTAAAATCCATTAGTGTGTGTTTGTCCAAGCAATCTGGTTTAGTATCTTAAAAATGTTGACTACCTCCCCACACACACACACCTTTCTTGTTGCAGCTGTTGCTTTTAAGAGTGTGACATCTTTTCTTAGTGGGTGATGTCTTTCTTTATTTCCCCCATTTAAAAAGGTTTTGCTGCCTTTATGTCTTGTGGAATGCACTTGTACATTGCTCTTATTCATCAGAGAGAGCCCTGGTACAGCCTTGAGAATGGCATTAACTTTATTAATCATCTGCTTGCAGGGTTAATAGCAGAGTCCAAAAGATAGGATCTTCAATTTCTATATTGCCTCATGCAATATAGAATATATATCGATATAGAACAAACAGTATCACTTGTTCTGTGCTGTCTTGTACACTTAATACATTTTAGATTTAAAACATAAGAACGTAGAATTCTGAGAACACTGTCAGGCCTTTTAATCATCACTCAATCGTAAGAAAATATGAGAATTGTTAGTTTTTTGTTTTGTTGGGGTTTTTTGCTTGTTGAAACTAGCCAAATTTTTCATCAAAACACTTTAATGCAAAAAATCTTTCAGAAAATTTTTAATTTTGGTTACAATTACCCAGCTTTTCCTACTGTTTTTTTTTTTTTTTTTCAGTTCAATTTGGCAGATTTTTAACCAAAATATTCAATTATTCTGGAAGTGTAAACAAGTTTCTCAAGGAGGCAAATGGCATTTTTCAACCAACAGTTGTGCCTGGTAATCTGTATATAATTGAAAAAGTCCCTTTTACAGTCTTGAATACAGTTCACTAATTCTTACAGTGCTAAGATACTTGCAGAAAGTAAATAAAATTAAAAAAACAGAAAAACTGCCCCAATGTGGGGGCAAGCTGTGTGTGTACAATTACTGCAAGTGTTCAGCAGAATAATTTAGAGAATAGTATATAAACAATATTATACAAATCAGCATTAGCTCCCTAAAGTCTTCCTGTCTGTTACTGAATAAAATATTACTTGACACATTTGTTCTTAGTCCTAACAGCATAGTAAGGGCTTGAATGCTGGCATTAAGTCTCTAGAGAGTGTAAAAATCTGATGCTGTGACTTCTGAGAGCTTAATGAAGCTAACGGTTTTGATTTATAATTTTGTCCATGTTGATACACTAACAAGATCTAGTCATTTTAAATGTTATTATAATATGAAAGAATAATGCTTGAACTATGGTATTCATTTCAGAACAAGCTGTTGCAGACAAAGAAAGAAATAGAAAAATACTCTGTAAATGACAAACAGGTAAGCTTGTTGCTACCAGTAGCTACTCAAATGTTAGTGTCTGTCCTACATATAATTACACTTTTAAAAGGAAAACTCTTTGGGTCATGAAATATTAATTTTACAAATTTGAAAGATATTTTACCCAGCTAGATGTAAGTTCAGGCTTTTCACATCTTTGTTATCATTTGTCATTAACTATACTATGGAGAGGGTCCAGAGGAGGGCCACTTGCATGATCAGGGGACAGCAGGGCAGGCCCTATGAGGAGAGGCTACGGGACCTGAACCTGTTCAGCCTCCAAAAGAGAAGGCTGAGGGGGGATCTTGTGGCCTGTTATAAACTAGTCAGGGGG